GGGCTAAGCTTTGTGAATTTTAATTAGTGTTTGGTAAAGTTTTTGATTTATTTTGTAATTTTTGTAATTTTTTTCATTTTCTGTGTTTTAATTTTTTTTAAACTTATTATACAGTTTTTGGTTGTTCTTTTGCTGCATTTCTATAACGATTTATTCATCCCGGAATAAATATCTAATTTTGTCCTAATTTTTATAATCTCGCATGGGCAGGTTCAATGAGATCCTCCAATAATTTATTTAAAATGGTAACAAAAGCTTCTTTAGTGTCTTGACATTTTTTAAATTTATAACATTAAAATAATTATCAGACGCAGTTTTTTGATAATTTTTTTTTAAGAAAATAGAAAATTAATTGCTGATACCTGCCTGAAATATTTCGGTTTCAAAAGTTGTTCCTAGGTAGTTTTTGATGAAGATATTGTCAATTGCTACGGCTGAATTTTTTGTGACACGTGTGGGTTTACTAATGATTGATAAGACATTGACTTTAAGAAGTAAATCAAAAAAAAGATTTTGTTTTAAGAAATTTCTGAGGAGTCAGAGCATAAAGGTTTATGTCTGCTTGAATTTATAGGTTCATGTCATTAATTTCGCGAATAATATACATGCTTTTACTTTCTTTATAAATTTTAAAATAGTTGTAAATAAATTTTTCAAATGGTTTAATTTTACCATTTGGCGGACGATAAACACATCCTACTAATACATTCTTACATTTAATTTAAATAATTTTAATGTAAAGCCTTTTATAGTTGGTATTTGGGAAGCATTGTAAGTTTTTTTGTTATTATAAATATATTTATTCGAGACCTAAACTTCTATCCCTCCACCTTTTTTTCAGCATAATCTTCGTTGACTAACTAATTTCTAAGATAGCAAATTATAGTTAGAGTTTAACTCAACGTAACTTTTTGCATCCTGCTTGGTCTCCGTAAAAACTATGATATCAAATACGTAACTTACAATGCTTAAAAAATTCTATTAACTTTTTATAATACTGCTGCATGCTTCTTACGCTTATGTGTACCAAAATACGAAAAACACTTATTTTATATTAGGGACACATTTAATGTTCGAGAGTCCGGAGGAACCTCTAAAATTATTTTTTGTTCAAATTTTTTTCAAATTCAGTCTTATTTTATTATATATAAACACATTTAGGGTGCCAGCAGACTTTTTCAAAAGAAGTTGTTTTGAAAACCTCCTAACGTTGGGTAGACAAATTTCACCTTTTCATCAGAATATTTTATTAATTAATTAGATTAAAAATGGCTACTCAGATTTGAAATAAAAAGTCGAAACAATTTAATCAGAGTATAGCTATTACGAGTCTCTAGTCTGGACAGATAATTGAAGTTGAAACATTTTATAATAGAAAATAGCTATTACCAGTTAAGGGCAGCATTAAAATCTGTTTTAAATTAAATGTAGAAGGATTTAAGTTTAGTCGGGTACTTTCAAAACTTGATATAGGTCACAAGCTTTCCGAAAATCCCATATATATTAAAATTATACAAACAACTTTCAGACCATCCCCTGCTTATTAGGACCAACGCCCCATTTTACTAATTTTGAAAAAAATAAAATTTGAATAAAAAATCTTTTATTCTATAAAAAAAAAATGATGTCTCCTTTAAGTTTACTTAAACGAACAGAACTAATTACTAAAGCACATTAATAGTAGAAGCATGGTTTTTATGAAATACGCGTAACAAATTTCTTTCCGTGTTTTGATGTTTTTAGAAATTATAAGCTTTTTTAAAAGTTCTATTCCTTTCATTTTTTATAGTATATATCTTTATATATGTTTTCTGTGTAATATTTATAAACTTTAAAAATTTCTATTTGTTTTAGAAAATTGAAAAAGATTTAGAAAAATTAAATTTGCAAGCAATGCACTTCAGGATCATAGCGAGCTAATCACATCGGTTACTAAGGCATCCATTTCTATCCAACATGGTTTAAATACTATATAACAAACAAAATAAGGAAATATATTTTTAAAACAGCAAATAAATTGAAATTAATGAGATATTGCATAATGCAATTTTCAGCTACACTCTAAAAACAGTCTGTTAAAAAAAGTAACGGATTGCGCTTTTTTGTCAAATTAACGGATTAATTCGTTACCAAAAACCAGAAAATTAACGGAGTAAAATTAACTATTTACGGATTCTTTGAAATTTAGTTAATTCAACGGATTAAAAATTTTAATCGTTCAAAAAAAAAATTTCAGTATATTACATCTTTTTATTTTGAAAATGATAAAGTTTTGAATGCGTTTTTCTCACATTTACATTTACATCGTAGATAAAAGTTGGTTGCAGTAAGTGTAATATGCCATTTTTTAAAAAGCTTTACATTTAGTAGACAAAGCAAATTCATAAATATAATTTAAATTACGCTATGTTATTTCGAAGGTTATTTAACTTATTTTAAATTTTTTATATAAAGCTTTATACAGAAAATTTAACAATAAGGTTTATTTTATTTTAAATTAAAAGCCATTAGTATTACTAAATAATATATAATAACATATATGGTAAGTTAGTACATATAATATATGGTAAGTTACTACATGTCTAAATCTAGAAAATTATGCAAGAATATATGCAATCCATATAGTTAATATTATAGAAATAAAAGTTCAACTAATCCTTTACTAGTAGTAAAGGGTTAGTTGAACAATTATTTCTATAATATAGACTAAATGGGTTATTTAAAGTCTTGTTTAACTTTATATTTTAGACATATGACAAGTAGTAACATACCATATTAGTTTAAATCAGTTGTAAAATTAAAAATGTTAACATCTTTGATATGTATATTTATTTAGGTTAGTTACAGCTAAGTTTACATGGCTAGTTAATATGCTTTTATAAATTGCAATTTTTATTAATTTCCAAATTAAACATGTGTCATCCAATATCATAAACTAAGATTATACTGGTGTGTTTCCCAGTAAGCACAAAGACGTTTAAAAGACGTTTTAAAGATGTCTTTAAGGAGGTCTAAAAGGCGCACTTGTAGACGTCTAGATCATAAGGCTAAAAGACGTCTAAATGAAGACGTCTTTATAAAAACGCGTTTTAGACGTATTTTAGACGTTTTTTTCAAGATAAATTTAAGTACATGACGTTACATTTTTGCGTAGTATGTGGCATATATTCATTGTATTTATAAAATCATATATTGTTATAATTTCGTTTATACAAAATATACATAGGAACCAGCAATCAAAATAATAATGCTGTAATCACCACAAACGGTTGATGCATCAAGGATGAAAATAATATATAACAATAATAAATATATATCAACACAGGTATTTAAAACATTTATAACTTACCCTTAGTTATAATAAAATTTAACATACGTATTGCTAGCTAATTTTTGAACGCATACTTAAATTATTATATGGCTTGTGGGTGTATAAAAACTAAAAATACTGATATTTAACTTATCTATTATTCTTGCCATTTTCACTTATTATCATGATCAGTCAACTATCTATTAAAAAAGCAAAATAATTATTAATAAAAAAAAGATATACGAATATTATAGCAATTATTTTAGTGATTCCTGTGACAACAATTTTAGCTATTGTGTAAAAAAGTAATTTAATTTAAAGTAAGTTACACACACAAGTTAAAACTTAAACAAATTATTGAAAATAATAAAAACTATGTTTTTACTTTGAATATACGACATCTACTTAACGCGTAATGACAAAGCCGTCAAAAAGAAGTCATAATGACATATTTATAAACAGGTCTCAGAAAAGACGTCTTTTAATGCGTCTTTTAGACTATTTATTATGCGTCTTTTAAACGTCTTTTTAAACTTTAAAAAGACGCATTTTAAACGTCATTTTAAAATTGCATTCATTAAAGACGTCTAGAAGATGTCTTAAAAAAGATATCTTCTAGACGTTTTTTTAACGCTTAAATAGACGTCTTTCAAACGTCATTTTAAAAACGCCTTTATAAAAGACGTCTAGAAGATGTCTTAAAAATTGACGTCTTCTAGACGTCTTTTTATCTTTTAAAAAAACGCCTTTTAAACGTCATTTTAAAAACGCATTCATAAAAGACGTCTAAAAGATGTCTTCAAAACGTCTATTAAAGTGCGTCTTTACCCAGACTAGTTTTAGACGTCTATAAGTATTCTAAAATGCGTCTTGTGCTTACTGGGTTATATTATTTTAGAATTTTTTGTTTTAGACACATGGCATTTGTTACCTCACTGTAAGTTAAAGCTAGTTGTAAAATTAAAAAATTTATATTGGAACTTCTTTTTCTTTTAACATTCATGTTTATTTATTTATACTATCTTAGAATTTGCTGCTTTAGAGGCATGGCATTTAGCGTCACATTGTAGGTTTAAATTGGTTGTAGAATTTATATTGTAACTTGCATATTTATTTAGTTGAGTTTAATCTAAGTTTATATCCGATGTGTTTGTATTATTTTAGAATTTACTGTTTTAGACACGTGGCATGTGGTATCCCACTGTATGTCCGAATTAGTATATTTAAAAAAAAATTATATTTTAACTTGCATTTCTTTTGACGTTCATGTTTATATAATTAGATTACAACTAAGTTTGTGGCTTGTTTATATTATTTCTAATTTTGCTATTTTAGACACTTGGTATAAGATGTCATACTGTAAGTTTAAATTAATTGTAAAAGTTATATTGTAACTTGCATTTCTATCGGCGTGCATATTTATTTAGTTGAGTTTCAACTATTAATAATAATAATATTTAAAAAAAATTTATATCTGGGGTGTTTATATTATTTTAAAATTTACTGTTTTAGACACGTGGCATGTGCTATACCACTGTAAGTTTGAATTAGTAAATTTAAAAAAATTGTGTTTTAACTTTTCCTTTGGCATGCATATTTATTAGTACAGTTAAGACTAAGTTTATATCATACTTTTTTAACTATTATTCTACTATATTCTATATTCTCTATTATTTTAGAATTAGCTTATTTAAACATGTGACAAGTGGTATGACACTGTAAGTTTAAATAAGTTGTAAAATTAATTTTTTTATATATTTACTTGTGTTTTTTTTTGGTCTGCATATTTAATCTTGTTTTGATTTATCATAGTTTTTAAAAGGTTAGAGACTTTATTTTTTGCTCCTGATAGGTTTTGATGTATGTGAAATGTATAGAGTCTTTCAGTTATCAGATAATGTCAAGGTAATTTTATACTTTTTTTTTTAATTTACATTTTAATAAGGATATAATTTACTTGTTCCATTTAACTTTATCTTTAGAAAAATGATATCAGGGATAATTAAAATAACAAAATTTAGAATAGAAATTTATATATAATGAATTACCAAAAACATTTTCTATGTGCTATCAGTAACATTTTGTTTTGGTTCTATCCTAGGTATGTTATTAAGTTTCCATATTTTCCTTATTTTATTTTATATTAATCTTTAAGGAGTTGACAGCATTGTGTCCGACTCAAAGTGCGAACCTGTGTACGAGTAACAACAGTATTTAAAACCAAAACCTATTTAAACCAACCAAACCAAAACTAGCAACCAAAAACTATCTTGGCATTGGTTTATTTTAAACATCTTTTATATACATGTGTGTTTTTTATATAAATGTACTAGCTTGAGTATAGTGTATTAAAAATTTTTTTCATATATTTTTATTGTAATTTAAAGTATATTGGATTAAATATTATAAATATTTGATTAGTTTTCAATTTTTGGTTAAACGTTTTAATGTAGAATATCGAAATAAAATAATGCAATTAAATAAAAATGCAAACATTAACAAATATAAGGATTATTTGGTTATGAAGTCACAATTCTGGCCTCTCTAATTTTAGATTTTAGTGATTTTAACGAAATAATCACTAAAATAACTTATTAACACATTTATTTCATAGGAATAACAACCGCGGAAAATTTGCTGCCTAGTGTAATAACTCCTTAATTTTAACGGATTATTCATTGCACTAACGAAATAAATCCGTAAATTCAACGGACTATTCCTAACGGACTTCAATTCGTTAAAATTTTAATTCATTAACTTAACGGATTTCCCGATAGTGCAATAGGGACAGATACAATTCGTTGTATATAACGGATTTTTTCTTTGAGTGTACATTGCTTTATTGATGTATATTATGACTATGTTTCTTTGTTTTCGTTTAGAGTAAATGCGTGCTAACACATGTCACAGCAGTTTCTTTTAAAAGAAAATGTGAACAAACGACTATGTAAATATCTAACGTACATAAACCTAAGTAATATTAAAACAATTTGAAAGATTTATCAAGTTTTACAGTTTTATTTTTATTAAAAAAATTGCAGTGCGTCAAGCTCTCCTTAGTTTTGATCTATAACATTTATTTCCGTTAAAAAAAATCATTATAACTTTTAATTTAAAAAAATTTTCGTTTAACAACGTGCCATCAAAACACCCCGAGAAAATATTTGTTGCATGTGTGTCATGATTGAGATTATGTAATTAACATGCTTAAGTAGTTATTCCTAATAGGCTTCGGACGGTCTTAAAAAAAGTTGTCTGAGACTTAATAAAGAAAAACCTTTTGAGACAGCCCTGCTACTCCAGAAGATGCTGCTGTGGGGGCAAAAAAAAAAAAAAAAACATGTAGCTAGAAAAAACTTAAAACTTTCTTTTGACAATTAAATCTTTTTTTGCTACATTAATTTTTTTACTATAAATATATGCTGCAGACTTTTTCAAAACGCCTTAATGTGCTTGTTACGAATTTTGAGAAAAAAACAATTAAAAAAAAAGTTTTTAGGAAAAACTCATTTTAAAACGTTTTTTGAAACGAGCAATTTTTGCTCGTTTCAAAAAACGAATATTTAACTTTAAAAAGTATACAAATATGACTAATACAATATGACTATAATGACTACAAATATGACTATAATACAATATGACTTCTAAAGGTCGCCAATCAACCGAATCTGAAATTCAGAACTTTATAGATGATTTAGATAACATTGAAGATAATGGTTGCGAAGATAAATTGCTGATTTCCACTGATGGTATTAATATTCTAATTTATTTTTTTTGCATTAGGATTTTTAAAAATATGAACTTTTATGATATTTTAAGTTTATAGATTAACTTTAAAGTTGTGATTTAATTCTTAACCTTTTTTTATAAACATTTTATTATTTGTCAAACTTGTGCATTACAATATTATAAAACTCTATGTATAATAAATATGTAACCTTAAGCCAATCCAAAAATGCATTTAACAACCTTAGATTTATTTGAACGTACATCTAAAACTGAGACGTCAGAAGTAGAGGAAGATTCGGATCATGAATTTATTCAACAAGAATTAAAAAAAATGTTTCTTCAAATAATTCTAAAGTTAAAGATTATAGTACTAACAATAATATAGTTGCTAGTAGTAGTTGGCTTAAAACCACAGCTAAAACGTTTTTGTAAGACCATTCTTAATTAGATTGGTAGTGATAACGATTGTGACAATAATTTTATTTGGGATGATATTCCTAGGCAATATAGAGAATTTCTTTTTACTACCTTTGATGGACTTTGGGTGTATATTGCTATAGTATCCATATTAGGAATTATAAGTAAGCCTCGTTATCATATATTTTGGACTAAAGACCATTTATTTTCTATGCTTATTTTTTCTAGGCTTATGTTTCGTGATCAACTTGAATCTATTTGTGCAATGTTGCATTTTACTTATCCTGAAAAAAAAATTAGGAGGATAGTTTGTGTAAGCTTAGGCCTTTTATAGATAGCTTTTATAGATATCTTTTATAGATATCAAAATGTTTTTCAGAGAATTATACACCTGAGCAAAATCTCTCTGTTGAGGAGTATCTCTCTCTTTGAAAAGGTCGTATGATGCTCCGTATTTTTATGCCAACCAAACATAAACTCTATGGAATCTTATTTTACATATGTTGCGAAAGTAAGAAGGGGTATTTGTATCGATTTATAATATATACTGGTTCAGATACAGAATATCAAGCCCCCAGTAAGATAACATTTGCCAAAGCATTTACTGGTTATGCATGTTATTCATAAGTAATTTTATCTCTGATAAATGGATTGTATAATCAAGGTTATTTTGTGACTATTGATAAGATATACACTTCACCTGAAAAATTGATGGCATTATTTCATAACTAGACTGAATAATTTAGCACACTGCAACAAAAAAAAGGACTTCTTAAGGACTTTTGGACTTGGAGGCCTTCGAAAAGTGTAGTTCAACCAGTATTGAAAAAGTTTTCTGCCAAAAAAAATTATGATAATGACCTCATGATCCCTAAAAGATCAAATCAACAAAGGTTGTTTCAATGATGAAATATTTCAATGATTTATAGCATACATATATGTATCAACTTTTTTTCTTTTTTTTTCTTACATGTCTATTTATTGAAAAAAGTACATAATTCTAATTTTCATGACTTTTTTTTTTAGACAAAAGCTGTTTAAAAGTTGTCCAATATGGTGTCAACCTCTACTAATTAGTTAGGTATACCTTGGAAGTATAAAAGAGATGGAAGTTCATCGAGCCGCAAACATCAAAGCAATTTCAAGTCGTGTCTGTTGCATGCTTGCAACCGACAATAAAAAAACAAAACAAGTTTCACCGGATAAAAAACAACAAAGTTCATTGAAATGATTTTTATTAAAACATCAAAAAAGATTTATTCTAGGGATATGCTGCAAAGTTTTAACCATTAGTAATTGCAATTATTCAGCAAAAAGTTTATTATAAGTCAGTAATTAAATAGAACCACTTGATTTTAAAAGCAAATGTTAGTTTGAGCTTCTTTTCATCCTTCAAGTCGTAACACGACACTTGATTAAAAATACAAATAAAACAATTTTTAAAAATTCAAAAAATTGTTTTCTAAATAGCTAAAGTTTCTTTTTTAAACATTTATTGGTTGGTGATTCTGCTGTAGAAGTAGCATTATCATTAACAAAAACCAAAGAAGTAGCAAACGTAGACTGATGTTAAGATAATAAAAAATCAACTTTATTACTAGCTTCAAGTTTTTTAACAATTTACTCATCGTCGACAATTTCAGAAATGGAAGAAGAATAATTTATGACAGGAGGTGGGCGAAAAGTTGGACATTTTCTTTTCAAGTTCTTTTCAGTTGAAAAAACAAAAATTGAAAAAACATCATCAATCTTTAAGTAAGATCTTGGAAGATTTGCACAAATATGATAATAGGTAGGTAAAAAAACTCGCTGCAAAGAACCGAGTTCTTTGATGGAGTAAACTTCTTACGTTTTAATGCGATTTTCTACTTTTTGCATAATTAATGGTTATGAAGTAGGAACTTATGAAAAGATATGTTACTTCTTTTCATGTATCTATTTGAGCAACCATAAGAAGCACAGTAGTTCACTATCTTATTATTGAAAACCTTTAAAACACAAAAATTGCTATCCATTAAGTCGTTCTGACGTCAAACAAAAACAATCGTAGCAACAGTTATGTTAAATCGGGGTATAGGAATGCGCGTAGCAAGAGTAAATCCTTAAAGAATTTTTAATACTTAAGTAATTAATAAACACATCTTTATGAACACATGCCAAAATATGGTTTTGACTTATTAAATTACTTAAGGAATACGTAATAATATTTACGTAATACATAATTACAGCACCGCTTTGTTTTTTGGTATAAAAATCAATTTACGATATGCTGTTGTCCAGTTAAGTTATGCGAAGAAGTGGTAAGGTTAGCATTACAGAAAGATAAAAAGATTGTATCACGCGAAGAAGTGGTTGTTAAAGAATCAAAAATGATTGTATGACAGGAAGAAGTGATTATTAAAAAACCAAGAAAGTTTGCATCACGAGAAGAAGTGGCTTTTAAAGAAAAGACAAAGATTGGAACACCAAAAAAAGTGGATTTAAAAGAAATGAGGAATTGTTAAGAAGTGAATAACGAGTAGTAGCGTTCAAAATAAAAACTTGTCAATAATTATTGGTGTCTTCAAAATGACGAAAACCTGTTATGTTTAAAATTGTTCAATCAACAACAAAAAAAGACTAAAGTTTTTTTATCTTTCAAGAGATAAAACTTTTCAAAAGAAATGCTATTAGTTGTGCTGATATTAAAAATGTTACAAAAATATGACCTCCCAGCTCTAAGAATGTTTGTATATGTTCTCCACATTTTATTACTGGTAAGCAAATTTTTTATCATTTATAATAATGTCATAGATTTTTAATTTTTCATTAATATGTTTGTATTTTTTAATACTATGCTAGATAATCAATTTTATTTAGATTAAATATTAAAATATTTTTAGGAAAACGAGATTTATTCACAAGTTCTCCAGACTATGTATTATAATACATCTCTCCACAGAGCACCTCTTGGAAAATGCCATTATCACCTCATCGTCGATCAAGCATGAAACGTGTTAAACAATCAGCTAATCGTTTAACAAAGAATAAAAATAAAAAAGGTGATTGTTTATTTTTTTGTTTTTTCATTCTTGCACAATCATTGTTTTTTCATTTTGTTCAATCATTTTTATTAAAAGTTTTTGAAAAAGTGAAAAATAAATTAAAATGAAATTAGATGAAAATTACTTTATTTTCTAAGAGTTTTTACAATCAGATAATTCTTATTAATATGTTACTTATTAATCAAATAATTTTTATTAAAATTAATAAGTAAGTAATTTTTATCTAAATAAAATGAAATAAAAATTAATATAAACAAAAATTAAACATGAATATTCTGTTTGAGTTCAAAAGAAGTTA